CAATTCTTAGGAAGGACCTGCTGGAACTGGAGGGAGTCTAGAGAAGGGCTACAAAGCTAATAAGGGGACTGGAGGACCTCAGTTATGAATAACGATTACAAGCATTAAACTTATTCTCCCTGGAGAAGAGACGCTTGAGAAGAGATGATCCCAGCATAGGAAGAAAACTGTTCAGCTTCAGGGAGCTGAAGAAAACGTGACCACTTGATGAAGAAATCTTATTTTTCCTTACCTGTGGCTCACTAATGTAAAGGAAAGCCTCATCTAAGATTCGGTTAAAGAGCCATATAAAGACATGTATGGTTTACCTTATCTGCTTGAGGAATGCAGGATGACCACTATCCTCCTTAAAATGTGAAATCACTGTCCAAACAACTTTGATTGGGCATTTGCTCACACACTAGCCTGTATCTACCACAGCCCACACTGGAATAAGCTAGTTCTCTAACAGAATGTCGGGAAGCACATGTCTGCCCCAATCGTCTGCCAAACTATTGTCAAACGGGTGGGGACCGTTGGAAGAACATCTATATTCTACCTGCAGTTAAGTCTTTTTATATGTTCTTTTGACACTTTTGCATTTATACTTCTGTCACCATTTCTATCATTACTTAATTAAATGTTATACTTATAAGTATTTGTGTGATCTTTCTTTGCACATATCAAATATGACCCCAAACACGTAAACTATCACTTATCAGTGATAAAACACCACTCCATGAAATTGGAGGAGAAGCGGTTTAACTTTAAATTGCATGGGGGTTTCTTTACTGTTAGAGCGGTAAGGATGTGTTACTCCCTTCCACAATCAGTGGTGTCAGCAGGGAGTATCAATAGTTTTAAAAAACTCTTAGATGGGCATCTTAGTGACTGCAATATACAGGGATATGGGAAATGATATTGACTTAAACACACAAATATACACACCCACGCAGGTTGAACTGGATGGACTGGTGTCTTTATTCAAACTCACCAACTATGTAACTAAGAATTTTTAGCACTGTCAATATTGTACAAACCTGAGAGATACATTTTTTTACCCCTTTATTGTCCTTTTTATTATGTAACATTTTATCCAGTGTTTTTGATACGCCCTCAGTGTAGAACTTGTTAATATGCTTTGTGCTTACTTACACTCATGGTTGTGTGTTGGAATAATTGACACAAACCCTTTCTTGTAGTTTTCTGTATTTTCCTTTATTATTGTCTCACTCAAAAAAAGTTCAATAAAAAATGATGACGCAAAAAACAAACATTGGCTCCAAAGCCTCCTCCTAACAGTACATAGGGGGCATATCAACAAAGGCAAGTAAAAAGTACTCAAAAGAAAAAAGTTTGGTCACATTTCTGGATTACAGAAATGCGCTTACTTTTGCTCTTTTGCTCTCCTGTGACAGCTAAAGCCCGCTGTCAGCTGATGTCACAGAGCAGCTCAAGGCTCTGGAAGGATCCCAACCATATTTTCAGGATCCACCCCGCTGCTCAGCATGGCTGAGAGCTGAATTCAGATGCAACCACCCCCTCTCCAGCCCGATACTTCAGTGCGTCCTGGAGGAGAAAACAGAGAGTGGTGGCTAAGAGTCACAGCTCTCTGCTCCAGGAAAATTGAGAACTGAGCGATCAGCAGTCATGTGATCACTCTGTTCTCAGGCTTAGAGCCAACATGGGACACCTGCAGCATCATAGCGATGCTCAAGCATGGTGGAGAGTATGTACAAGTGAAACTCAAAAAATTAGAATATCGTGCAAAAGTTCATTTATTTCAGTAATGCAACTTAAAAGGTAAAACTAATATATGAGAGACTCATTACATGCAAAGCAAGATAGTTCAAGCTGTGATTTGTCATAATTGTGATGATTATGGCTTACAGCTCATGAAAACCCCAAATCCACAATCTTAGAAAATTAGAATATTGTGAAAAGGTGCAATATTCTAGGCTCAAAGAGTCCCACTCTAATCAGCTAATTAAGCCATAACACCTGCAAAGGGTTCCTGAGCCTTTAAATGGTCTCTCAGTCTGGTTCAGTAGGAATCACAATCATGGGAAAGACTGCTGACCTGACAGTTGTGCGGAAAACCATCATTGACACCCTCCATAAGGAGGGAAAGCCTCAAAAGGTAATTGCAAAAGAAGTTGGATGTTCCCAAAGTACTGTATCAAAGCACATTAATAGAGAGTTATGTGGAAGGGAAAAGTGTGGAAGAAAAAGGTGCACAAGCAGCAGGGATGACCGCAGCCTGGAGAGGATTGTCAGGAAAAGGCCATTCAAAAGTGTTGGAGACTTTCACAAGGAGTGGACTGAGGCTGGAGTCAGTGCATCAAGAGCCACCACACACAGACGGATCCTGGATATGGGCATCAAATGTCGTATTCCTCTTGTCAAGTCGGTCCTGAACAACAAACACCGTCAGAAGCGTCTTACCTGGGCTAAAGAAAAACAGACCTGGTCTGTTGCTCAGTGGTCCAAATTCCTCTTTTCTAATAAGAGCAACTTTTGCATCTCATTTTAAAACCAAGGACCCAGAGTATGGAGGAAGAATGGAGAGGCACACACTGCAAGATGCTTGAAGTCCAGTGTGAAGTTTCCACAGTCTGTGTTGATTTGGGGAGCCATGTCATCTGCTGGTGTTGGTTCACTGTGCTTCATTAAGTCCAGGGTCAACGCAGCTGTCTACCAGGAGATTTTGGAGCACTTCATGCTTCCTTCCGCAGACGAGCTTTATGGGGATGCTGACTTCATTTTCCAGCAGGACTTGGCACCTGCCCACACTGCCAAAAGCACCAAAAACCTGGTTCAATGACCGTGGGATTACTGTGCTTGATTGGCCAGCAAACTCGCCTGACCTGAACCCCATAGAGAATCCATGGGGCATTACCAAGAGAAAGATGAGAGATATGAGACCGAACAATGCAGACGAGCTGAAGACCGCTATTGAAGCATCCTGGTCTTCCATAACACCTCAGCAGTGCCACAGGCTGATAGCTTCCATGCCACGCTGCATTGAGGCAGTAATTGCTGCAAAAGGGGCCCAAACCAAGTACTGAGTACATATGCATGCTTATACTTTTCAGAGGTCCGATATTGTTCTATGTACAATCCTTGTTTTATTGATTGCATGTAATATTCTAATTTTCTGAGATTGTGGATTTGGGGTTTTCATGAGCTGTAAGCCAGAATCATCACACTTATGACAAATCACGGCTTGAACTATCTTGCTTTGCATGTAATGAGTCTACCTCATATATTAGTTTCACCTTTTAAGTTGCATTACTGAAATAAATGAACTTTTGCACGATATTCTAATTTTTCGAGTTTCACCTGTATGTTTTTTTAGTCCAAACTTCTCCTTTAAAAACATAAGCAGCAATTTTTAAATATTTATTTTAGGTTGCATGAATTCAAACATTTAACAAATGTAAAGTAGTTGTTATCCTAATTTGGCTGCAAAAGTGGAAATACACTTTAAGTCTATGGACATCCTTGGAGGTCTTGATAGAGGTAACGAAGTAATAGTGCAATGTGTAATTATTAATGCATCACCTTGTTGCACCTGTCAAGACCTCTGCGTCCTCCTCATTGCTGTAGTAAACAAGTTAGATATGTAAATGAACAGCAGTAGTTATAATTTGTCATTAGTGCTGTAATAAGATGTTATACTAATGATAAGCTATAAATGCTAACGGCCATGACCAGCCTCTCATCTCATCAACTACTTCTACACAATAATCATAAGTTTTACAGAGGAAAGTAAAGTCAATCTCAAAAGAATGAAAAGGCCTGTGTGCAAAGGCTGGGCGGGCTTCATGTTGACCATTGTTTGGCATTCTCTGCTTTGGTATGCCATTTCTTCATTTGGAAATATATATGCATTCAAATAGCTGACCAGTTGGAGCCTTAAAGAGGTTACTATAGTATTGCACATGCACATGCTAAAAATCCACAGTGGCCTTGTGTTGCCTCCCCACCACCTGTTTTAACCCCTAAAAGCCCACACCACCGAGCAACAACCACATTGCATTGCACACAGTTTTGGGGGGGGGGGTTATGGCATCAGTTTGCAGTACTGCCTGCAATGAGACACAATGGGGGATCATTTTTGCCACACTGCAATGCAAAGCGTCACAGCGTGTGTATACCCCTGCCTTTGCAGCATAGAGGGAAACTAAAAGTTTGCTCATGAACGGGCATTTAGTGCCAGTTCACATATATGCAGATTGGATGCAGTTTGAATCGTGATTGGATACAGAAATGACTACTATGAAATAACATTGCTTCCTATGGTGCCTGTTCATATATGTCCAGTGAACTGGCAGTGCAGATTGAAAAAGGGTGCTGATTTCTGAGCTATGGTCCGATTGACTTCTAGATAAAATCCTGACCTGAACCACTACTGTGTCATTTAGCTGTGAAACCTGAGCTTCAATCCGGACCACACATGTGTGAATCAGCCGTGATGAAAGTGTAGCAAATATATTTATTTATTACAGGTACTTATATAGCACCTTTAATTTACACAGCACCTCACATACTTCTATTATGCATTCACATCAGTCCCTGCCCTCAAGGAGCTTACAATCTAAGGTCCCTAACTCTTATTCGTACATACTAGGGCCAATTTACCTACATGTCTTTGGAGTTTGGGAGGAAACCCATGCAACCACAGAGAGAGCATGCAAACTCCATGCAGGTAGTGCTGTGGTTGGGATATAAACCGATGACACTAATGCTGCTACGTGGAAGTGCTAACCACCTAGCCACTGTGCTGAGAATTGGTTAACAGAGATTTACAAGATTGTAAGCTCCAACGAGCAGGGCCCTCCTATCCCTCTTGTATTGAACTGTATTGTTGCTGTATTTTTACCATTATATTGGAAAACGCTGAGCAAACTGTTGGCGCTATATAAATCCTGTATAATAGTAATAATTTACACCCAAAATTTGTTAGCACAATGAATCAGAACACTATTCAAGATGGGGTGGCAGGGCCAAGTACAGGGCAGTTGCGGACTGACAATTCGAGCACTCGGGCACCGCCCAAGGGCCCGGGTCAGTAGGGGGCCCCATGAAATGCCCCTGGTACCTTTTTTATAGGCTTTTTTGAGTGTGGGCAAGGACATAGGGCCCCACGATCCCCTATTGCCGGGGGCCCCATGAGTTGTCAGTCCGCCCCTGGTACAGGGTAACCTTTGACATATTTCATTACTTTTAACATGTCATGGTCAAAAAACATTCACACATTCAAACTGCCTCGATGGGTTCATGGAGTGAAAAGGACTGTTCAATATTAGATCAACTAAAACCTAAATATGTATCTTTATGCAATATTTAGTTCTGCTAAGCATACAAAACAAAAAAAAACTACTGAACAGAATCCTTTCATACAGAATAGGAATAAATACTAAAAATAACAATCAGAATACAGAACAAAAGAAGTACTACTGAGCAGTGTCCTTACATACAGAATGCAAACAGATATGGAAATGACAATAGGAATCCATAACAAGAGAAGTACAATTGAGCAGTGTCCTTACCTACAGAATATAAACAGATAATAAAAATGACAATTAGATTACAGAACAAGAGAAGTACTATTGAGCAATGTCCTTACATAAAGAATAAAGAGCAAACACTGAGAATTACACTCACCGTAAACACATAATAGGACAAGCACTGAGGATTGCACCTAATGTACAGCAGAAAAGTGATTTTTATTGACATGTCAAAAAAGCCAATCCAAAAAGTCCCCTACATACGTGAACATGTGTTTGCATGTACAGTCAAGTAAAGCTGGATACACACACTCAGCCAGCAGGCTCAACAGATAAAAAACACTGAGAGACAGGGACGGACTGACAACTCATGGGGCCCCCAGGCAATAGGGGATCATGGGGCCCCTGTGTCCTTGCTCAAACTCCAAAAAGCCTATTAAAAAAGGTACCAGGGGCATCTCATGGGGCCCCCTACTGACCCCGGGCCCTCGGGCAGTGCCCGAGTTTCCAAATGGTCAGTCTGCTCCTGCTGAGAGATCATCTTACCAATACAAGTAAGTTGGTGTGGCGATCTCCCCTGCTGTGCCTTTGTGTTCTGACAGGGGAACTATCCCCTGCCAGGACACAATGATCAGAGCTCGCAGCCATGGTCTGCAAGCGCTGATCTTTGTTGGACTTATGAACAAGCTCCTAGAACAGAGCTTGTTTGTTGGTAGGAGACTTACTATATTTAGCTGAATCCAATAGCTAGCAGTTGACATTCCTCCATCCATGTTGCTTAGCATTAATGGGGGAATTAATGGATAGCTCTGGTATGACTAAAGTGGACCTTGACTTAAAGGAGAGGAATGGACTAAAATGAAAAAAAAAATACACATACATACTCACCTCCATGCTGCAACATTAGTCTGTTATTGCAGATGTCCCCTGTCAGCGCTATGCTCTAATCAAACTGGTTGAAGATTGTAACCCTGAAAGTAGACTGGCCAAAGATGTTGCCAACAAGGGTGCTCATGGACACCGCTGGAGTGGAGCGTGTAGGCAGGTTAAAATGCTGGTTCGTGAGACAGCTGCTTCCACAGACAGGAGGGAAACAGTTAACCTGATTTCCTGCATTGTTTGCTGTGCTCAGCCTTTCTCTCTGCACTGATAATAAAAGGGGAGAGGGCTTTGCCCAGATAGACAGTCTGCCGCATGGGAAAGAAGACACAAACAAGTCACAGTAATCTCCAGATGCTCACAGAGAGGAGAGAAGGGTGAGCAGTTCTACCTCAGAAAGCAAGCCTGCCTGCTGTCACTTCCACCATGTAGGGGAATTGCTGAGACATTCAGTCCACCCTGAAGACACCAGTTCTGGAGATCTGCCAGCTTGGACGCTACCAAGCATAGGCTCTTTCCTATGCAGGTATGCTGGGGCGGCCAAAAGCTTAAAGCGGAGTTCCAGCTGAAAAAAAATAAAATAAAAGTCAGCATCTACAAAAACTGTAGCTGCTGGCTTTTAAAAGACAGACACTTACCTGTCCCTCAGTCCAGTGGTGTCCTCACCAAGGCTGGTTTCACTGGCTGTCTTCTCTCCCCGGTGCCGGCATCTTCAGTGTGGGCACCCGGCTGTAACAGCTTGCACCAACTGTTGAATAGACTTTGTTAAAAGAGAGGCAGACTGATTTGCATCTGTGTCCCTAATTTTCTTAATAATTGCCCCCCTCCCCCCCTAAAAAAAAATTGTGTGTCATATGTACACGTAGAGTAAAGTCATAGTGTCTGTACAAAGGGCCTTTTATACTTACCTTGTCTGCACTCCATGCCCACTCTTTCCTCTTCTGCAGCTGGTGGAAGTACCTGACAATTCTGCATAAAAGAAAGCAATGGTCATCTCCCGTATGACAGCACTCCGGTGTAGAAGCCAATCACTAGGCCTAAGCACAGTCATATAACCAAAGAAGCAATATTAAGAAATGCCTGTTGTCCAGGTGTCTTTGACTCAATACACATACATACTACATCATGTGGTTGGACGTGTGTCTGTGAAGAAAGTGCACTGGAATCAGAGCATTTGTGCATGTGACTCACAATGGGTGCATGTGTCCATGTCCATGCCTGCTGTCGGTGGTACAGGGAAATCTATGTAAAGTCCAACTCCAGGAATCTACCCCAGCAGTGCCCCCTGCACTGCAAGGATTAAATGCCCATTATGTCTAGGAATTAGAAGGACAGGCCGTGTTACTTAGCCTAACCCCTGCTCTGGCAGGGTCCTTTGTTGTCCTCTCTTCCTGAAGCTCCAGTATGTGGGCAGCCCCTTAGCATCATCCTATACAATACAGGGCTATTAACCCTGCATTGTATGGGGAAAGGGCAAATGTGCGACCACGGCCAGGAGTGCCTTAGAGAGAAGACTTTGTGGGATCAGGTGCACAGTTGGGGGGGCTCATGCTAAAGTGAGGAAAATAAGGTAAGAATGACACCTTATTCATGCACCCCTAGACTAAATAAGCATTTAACCCTTACAGTGTGAGAGATGGGGAGGGGGCACTGCAAAGGTATTTGTTTATTGTGCCCAAAGTTGGGCTTTAACCTTTTTGCTACCAGGTCCATACATCGTATGGACCTGCCATGTAGGGGTTTTACACACATTGCAGCCACCAGGATTGTGTGTACATCTAACAAGCCAACTTCTGGCTGTCAAGTGCAAGTAGTCCTTGCACACCCCGGTAAAGCCCCCCCCCCCCCTCCCCGTGCAACCCTCCGCCATGTTTCCTGAGCTCTGCCCATCTGTGGGCACGGGGACCAGCATAGCGGCTGTTGCCAAGTAGGGGAGGACACACATCTGCTCTCCTCCCCTTCTTGTTGGTGACCTGGAAGCAAAGTGTAAATGTTACTGCCATGTCCCCCTCTCAGTTTCCCCATCCATCACGACTAGGAAAGAATCTAATTCAGTGTGATCTGTACCGCATTAGATTTGATGGAGCACAGGGGAGACATCCAGGGTCTTTTAGATCCCAAATGTCTAATTAACCACTTGGCAACTGTTCTATAGTTGAATGACGGCTACAGCGCGGTTGTCCAGTTCTGAGAGGGCGACATATGACATCCTTCCAGAACACGCCCTCCTGCGCGCCCCCCCAGCTGTGCACAGCTGGCGATCTCTGTGATCGCTGTGTACTATGAACACAGCTGGTCATGTGATGTGGTAAAAGGCCAATCACAGCGGCCTTTTACCACATGATCAGCTGTGTCCAATGACACAGCAGATCACCGGGTAAATACAGTTGCACTTTCCTCACACTGTCACAGCGTGAGGAAAGTACTGCCGGTAACCGGCAGTTGTCATAGAACAGATCTACACTGATCATCAGGGCACTGATGATCAGTGCCCAGCAGTGCCACCCATCAGTGCCCAGCAGTGCTACCCACCAGTGCCCAGCAGTGCTGCCCACATATGCCCAGAAGTGCCGCCCATCAGTGCTTCCTATAATTGCAGCCTCATCAACGCACATCAGTGAAGGAGAAAAATTACCTATTTGCAAAATTTTGTAATAGAAACAAAGAAAAACTTTTTTTTTTTCAAATTTTTTGCTCTTTTTTGTTTTATAATGCAAAAAATAAAACACACAGTGGCAATTAAATACCACCAAAAGAAAGTTCTATTTGTGTTAAAAAAATTATAAAAATTTCATATAGGTATAATGTTGCACCTTTGATATTTCCTGAAAATCAAGTTAATTCATGATCGCTTGTCACACAAAACCCCAAAAAATGGCTGGACAAAAGTATTGGCACCTTAACTTAATATTTGGTTGCCATTCAAAGAGCGACAACGCTGAAAGCTGAAAAATTGGCCTGGGCAGGGCAAGGAGGTATAAGTGCCCCTTAGGCAAGTGGTTAAAGAGAAAGGCCTGTCATCAAAAATCATCGCATAGGGGACTTTTTGTCCTCTGTGCGATGAAAAAGAAACAAAATAGGTAAAAAAAATGTTTTGCAAAATTGTTGCGCACTAAAAAAAAAAATAACTCCAGCATATAAAATCTCTCCCCCCCATGCTTAAATTTTTGAGGCTCTCCTCCACCATGTATAGATCGAAAACGCAGTTATTTACCTGTTTAACTGTATTTCCAGGAATCTTCTAGGACAGCTCACTTGAGAGATAGGGCTCCTCCCAGGAAACACCCGCTCCACCTTTTTTTTTTTTGTCCCTTTATAGGCGTCCTCTCTCCCATTGGCCCCCAGTATAAGAATATGACCGAAGGCCTAGGAGAAAACAAAGAAGAAAACCGTAATAAAGACATCCCCCATAGGTTCGCAACATACCTGCACATAATTGTGTGATCAAACAGTAATCGGGGGGGAGTTACGCTGTCCTAGAAGATTCCTGGAAATACAGTTAACAGGTAAATAACTGCGTTTTCCCGAGTCATCTTCTAGGACAGCTCACTTGAGAGGAGTAGAATAGAAATACGTACATTAGGGCGGGCACCCTGCTTGTAGGACCTTCCTGCCAAATGCCTGGTCCTTGCTGCCGATCAGATCCAGCCTGTAATGCTTAGTGAAGGTGGCGAAACTGGACCACGTTGCGGCTCTGCAGATCTGTCCGGGGGAGGCCCCCCCTTTTTCCGCCCAGGAGGCCGCAGTGGCCCTCGTGGAGTGGGCTTTTAGGCCGGGCGGTGGTGACAGGCCTGTCGACTTGTAACCTTCCGAAACTGCCTCCCTGATCCATCTGGCGATGGTGCCCTTGGAGGCACCGTCCCCCTTCCTTGGCCCCTGGAATAGGATGAAAAGCCGGGACGAGTGTCTCCATGTCTTTGTGCGTTCGATGTACGTGATCAAACACCGTCTAACGTCTAACCTGCTATAGTCCTCCGCGCTGCCCGGATCGGCCTCCAGGGAAGGTATTACTATTTCCTGAGATCTATGGAAGTGTGACGCGACCTTAGGTAGGAAGGCCGCGTCCGTGCGGAGGATGATTCTATCCAATAAGATGGTGCAGTACGGCTCGATCACTGAAAGGGCATGCAACTCGCTGACCCTGCGGGCAGAAACTAGTGCCGTGAGGAGGATGGTTTTAAGAGTCAAAGATCTGAGCGAACACTCATCCAGCGGTTCGAAAGGCCCCCGCTGAAAGCTCTTCAGGACTGTGCCCAGGTCCCATGTTGGAAGTTTCGGCAAGGACGGGGCACGGCGCCTGGAGATAGCCTTCAGGAATCTGATTACTAATGGGTCTGCCGCCAACCTCAGCTCGAGAAAGTTCGACAGAGCCGCTACCTGTACTTTGAGGGTATTGGCGGCCAGATTCTTATCCGCCCCGGCTTGAAGGAATTCAAGAACTGTATGCAAAATGGGCGTGCCCGGTGCTTCGTTTCTGACCTTCCAGGCGGAAAACTTCTTCCAGACCTTGTCGTACAAGGCGTTCGTCGACCTCTTCCGGCCATCCAAGAGGGTGGCGACCACTCTTGCCGAGAGCCCCTTTTCTGCTAGCCTGTCCCGCTCAGAAGCCACGCCGCTAAGGACAGCCTTTCTGGATGAGGATGCATCACCCTCCCCTGGGTGAGTAAATCGCGTGTGGGTGGTATCATCCAAGGGTCTGCTAAACTGAGCTCCTTCAACCGGGAGAACCAAGATCTCTTGGGCCAGAATGGCGCGATCAGAATAACTTTGGCTTGAGACAACCGGATCTTCTGTATCACCTTCGGCAGTAGTCTGAATGGAGGGAAGGCATAAAGGAGGTCTCCTTCCCACTGCTGGGCTAGCGCATCTATCCCCTCGCTTTTGGGGTCCTTCTGCAGGCAGAAGTACCTTTCCCGCTTTGTGTTCTGGCCGTTGGCAAATAGATCGATAGAGGGGGAGCCCCACCTGGCGCAAATCTGATCGAACGCTGACTGGCTGAGGCACCATTCTGTCTGGATGACCTCTCTTCGGCTCAGCTGATCCGCCAACTGGTTCAGGTCCCCTTTCAGATGTACTGCCGTGATGAACTCCAGGTTTTCCTCCGCCCAGCTCAGGAGGGATCCGGCCCACTCCATCAGCCTTGGGGACCTTGTGCCTCCCTGCCTGTTCAAATACGCCACTGCAGTGGTATTGTCGGAGAGAATCTGGACACCTCTCCCCCTTATCTTTTCCTGAAAGGTCGTAAGTGCCTTGAAAACTGCCAACAGCTCCCTGTAATTTGACGACCTGCTGGAGTCTACTGCACCCCACGTGCCCTGGGCCAGGCCGTCTTCCATATGGGCCCCCAACCAGTCCTGCTTGCATCCGTGGTGATCCGCAGTGGGCTGGCCAGCCTCCAACTTCTTCCTCGTTCCAAGGTGAGGATGCTTCCCCACCACCTTAGCGATTCCTTCACTTCGTGCGTGATGCGGATCCTGGAACTCAGACCTGCTCGGCTGCCGTCCCAGTGGGAAAGGGTGTGATTTTGCAGAACCCTGGAGTGAAGTTGCGCCCATTGCACCCCTGGTATTGCCGCTGTCATCCGCTCGATTATTCTCATCGCGGTCCTGACCGTGCAGGTCGACATCCTCCGGAGGGCCCTTGTGTCCTGCCGCAGGTTGAGGGCTTTTCTGATGTTAGGTACGATCGGGCCTGTGCGGAGTCCAGGACGTACCCCAAGTACGTAATCCTCTTGGAGGGGGTTCGATGTGCGATCTCAGGCCTCCCTCTGTGTCCGCAAATAAAAGCAGGTCGTCCAAATAGGGGATGATGTTTATCCCTTCCAGTCTCAAAACTCTTAAAGGCTCCGCTAAAATCTTGGTGAATATCCTCGGGGCCGACAACAGGCCGAAGGGGAGTGTGTTGAACTGAAATAGCACCGGACCCTTTTCTCCTTCCAGCGCAAACCTCAGGAATCTCCTGGAATCTTCTCTTATCGGGACATGCAGGTATGCGTCTTGCAGATCTATCGAGGCCATGAACACCCCAGGTGAAAGGAGTTCCTTCACCGTGTATATGGATTCCATACGGAATTTGCTGGGCCTCACGAACTCGTTCACCTTCCGCAGATTCAATATCATCCTGTAAGTACCTGACGGTTTTTTCCTTAGAAAGAAATGGGAGAAGAATCCACTTCCCCTTTCCTCTTCTCTCAACTGGCAGATAACGTTCTGACTGAGCATATCTTGTAGGAGGTCCACCAGCGCATCCGCCATGGCCCTGTCCTTTGGCAGGGGTGTTGCAAAGAATCTCTGAGGGGGGGCCCTTGTGAACTCTATTCTGTACCCCCTGTGGATGGCCTCCAGAATGTAGGTGTTCTGGGTTATCCTTAGCCATTGTGCCCCAGCCTCGCTCCCACCTGGCCTCTCCAGTCACTTCGGCTGGGTTTTGGGTCTATTCTGGCTGGGGTTGAAAAGGAAACCTCCCCTGCCTCTCGGCTCGTTCCTGCCTCTTCTCGCGCCCCAGCCTGGGCGCTGGGTTTGGAACCTAGCTTCCCTCGACGCGTATCGCCTGGATGGGCGAAACCCCTTCCGTCCAACCTGCCTGCTGGGGACCGGGAAGCTCTTTTTCCTGTCGGCCGACCTTTCCAGGACTGAATTCAGCTCCGGGCCGAAAAGGAGTTTTCCTTCAAACGGCAGGCCACAGAGTTTAGATTTGGAGGCCAGATCCCCCTGCCAAGATTTCAGCCAGATAGCCCTCCTTGCCGTGTTTATGAGCGCTGTAGATCTAGCAGAGAGTCTGATGGTCTCTGCTGATGCGTCCGCGATGAAGCTACCGCTTTCTCCAGCACCGGAAGGGACTTCAGAATCTCTTCCCCCGGGGTGCCTTGTTCCAGATGCGAACGGAGCTGCCCCAACCACACATCCAGGGTTCTGGACACACAGGTCGTTGCCACTGCAGGTTTAAAATTCACTGCGGACGCTTCCCATGCCCTCTTCAGGAAGGCATCCGCTTTCCGATCCATCGGGTCTTTTAGGGACCCACCGTCTTCAAAGGACAGGTCCGTGTCCTTCGAGATCCTCGAGAGAGGGGCGTCTGGCTTTGGGCAAGTCTCCCAAACCGAGGCATCTTCCTCCTTAAAGGGGAAACGTCTCTTGAGGTTCTTGGGAAGGAAAGCCTTCTTCTCTGGCTCTTCCCATTCTCTCCTGATCGTGGACCATAGGGCAGGGTGTACTGGGAATGTACGGCTGCTTTTTGCCTGTAGCCCTGCGTACAGTTGGTCGTGGAGAGAGAGGTCCTGCTGTTCCTCCTCCAGATCCAGGGTCTCATAGATCACCTTTAACAGGTCCTCCGTGTCTTTCACCTGAAAAAGGAACCTGTCTGCCTTTGGGCCCTGAGCCTCAATCTCACCCTCCTCCGAGTCTGAGGTGTCCGACTGTTCGGCCTCTTCCCAGTCCCTTACCGGCGCTACCAGCTTCCTCTTTTTCCCCCCTTGGGTGCCAGAAGTGCCCGGTTGGGGATCATCCTGGGCCGGTCCCGGCTTCTGTTCCCTGAAGCTTTGAAATGTTTTGGACATCTCTTGTGT